TGTGTATACAGTTATATATTAAATTATTATATTGAAACCTTAATCCCTTCTTTCTGCTCACGTCTCGTTTCGTCCAGACTGTGGGACCCAGGGGTCGACTGGAGACACACCGTTTGGAAGAACACACGGTAAAACAGGAAGTCAGATTGAAGTGTGACAGAATGGTATGGATGAAGCTGCAGCTGCCTCTGGTCTAACTGTGATGCTGTGTTTCCATAGTTACCAGTTTGGAGATGCTGTCCAGAGAAGGGGAGGGTCAGCAGGTCATCGGTCGGGCCAGTTTGGACATCTTCTCTCCAGTCAGAGACGGTCAGACTTCCTCTCAACTGGTTTGGAGATCTATGTCAGTGCTTGAAAACTTAAACTGAAATCTTAAGGCTGAACTGTAGTTTGTCCTGCACACGAGTACTTGCTAAAAGCTGATTAGAAACACAGGAGGAATCAACCTGTGGAAACCAGGTTTCTCTATTCCACCTCCCGAGTACTAAAACAGCATGACCTTTAAAGAAATAATCTCATTTGAGAATCTGACTGTAGCTGATACTGAAGTGCATGAAGACAAGACAGATCTTTGGTCTCTATGAACGTCATCATTGGGGTGGTTACTCGTTGTGTTTCAGACTCACATTCAGGTGCTAACTCGCACCGCAAGACCCCGCTGGGAACTCCCCTGGTAGGAGCTGCAGGGCGATGCTACAGCCCGCTGTCTGTTTTCCAAACCCCTCCCCCTATCAAAGAGGAGGAGCCAATCCATGCTGCAGCCGCCGAACCATGTGACTCTAGAAAGGTGCTGACCTCTGACCTCAATCTAATGTAGCAGAATATTATGAGCACAAAGTAACGTCACAAATAACAGTCTCTCTTGATTGACAGTCCGACAAGGCCAGCAGCCCCAGTCTGGAAGGGGAGGAACAGACCCCGCCAACAGCATCCCAGCACACCAATCACATTCAGACGGCCCCACCCTTCTTTACTCCAGAGCCCAACCTCAGGAGAGCCAATGGTGTTCAAGCTCAGCTGAGCTACGACTCACCTGTCCAGGGAGCTCCGCCCACCACCACTGCAGGTAGAGAAAGCCCCAGTCGAACAGAGGAGAGGTTCAATTCCCGTCTGATGTGTCAGGTTTTCTGGTTTCTAACGGTTGTGTCTGTACCCTCAGGTTCAGCTCTGTCAGCGGCCGTCTCCTCCTCGCTCTCCCAGAACATCGCAGACGTGGTGGGGCAGGCGGGAGCTGCTCCTCTCACCTCCCTGCAGATCCACTTCATCCAGAACATGATCCACGAAACTCTGGAGGACTTCAGGTCTGTCGCTGAACTTTGACTCCTTCTTTAAAGCCTCATACCACAAACGTAGGAACCTAATAGTGTTTATCTTTCTCCTTACTTTCATCAGGGACGCCTGTCACAGAGACATCGTCAACTTGCAGGTGGAGATGGTCCGACAGTTTTACATCCAGCTGGTACGAAACATCACAGACATTCTCTCATTCTTTCTAATTTCAAGATGTTCTCTTCCTCCTGCTCTCAGTATGGAAGCCTTTAACGGCCAAGATTTTAAGGTTTTATTTCATCTGTTTTCCCTTGATAACAAGCTAGTTATTGTGTTTTCTCAACATCACAGGTTAAATAACAAATGTTTTCCAAGATAAGATATAGCAGCTGAGGTTATATCAAGGCCTGAGAGATTGAACTTGCTTTACTGCTTTGCTGTTAGAGACGATACAAACATAAGTGTGTGTCATCTGACATTTAGCAAGGCTTCAGCTGTATCAGCAGCACAATCAAAAGCCCTTTGTACACAAAGGTTGCACTATACAGCCGCTAAAAAGTCGCTTCTTTACACCACCTTTGTGATTTTACACATAACCAAACAATGGCAGCATCATGTCGCTTCAGTTTGTGATTTTGGATAGCATGCCCACGTCCTGGAAGCAAAGGAGGCATGACATATGAAGCAACAGTGTCAGGCTCTAGTATGACCTGTAACATAAGGGGAAGGCAGCACTTTCTAAACAATAACAACGGCTAACATGTCGATAACATTCATTTACCATCCCTGTTATATAGCAGCTGATCCTCTCCTCGGAGGGTAAGGAGCTCCCAGACGTCATTGTTTTCCTAATTTGTAGACATTTCTGGCTGCTATTCTTCTTTGGGTTAGCTGCTAACTGCTTCTAGCTGCTTTTTAAAATCTCCCACAGTGGGTCGCACACATAATACGGTGTCAAAACATCACAACCATCCCCACCTCAGTCCTGTCCCGCCATCTATCCCTTTTACACAGACGTCAATTTAGCGCTGTTACTACCTCTGCTGCCAGCTTAAAGGTGAGACAACTCTGTCCCCCCATTCCGTGATTGTACCTTTTATACAGAGGACACAGCAGCCTCAGCCGATTAAATTCAATTTGCGAAAAAGCCCAGTTTTCTCGTGATCTCAAATTAATTGTGTTGTCATTCCAACAAAGTTTCATTATCTGGAGAAAATGATCTTGTAACTCTGGAAAACAACATTTGTTATTTTGATACAAAGACAAAAAAACAACTTACAATCTTGGGAAAACAATGAAAATGAACTTATCACTGGGAAACAGAGGAAATGGAATTGTCTCTCAACTCACGTCTCACATGTGTCTTTCAGAATGAGATCCATGGTCTGATTGAGAAATACTCTGTGAACGAGTCTCTGGTGGAGGAGGTGGAAAGGCTGAGAGAAGAGAACCGCAGACTGAGGACCAACTACTGACGCTCTGTTCCTCACTAGAGATGGTTACGGTCAACGGTTTGAATTTTCATCTGCAGCCAAAACAAGAGTCTCAACCTGTGGGAGAGAAAATCTAAAGTCAGAATAAAGTGAACACTGCCTTACTGCTGACTGAAGAGGACGAACTGTCACTGCCTCTCTTCAGTCAGACTGCTGCGGCTGCTGACGATGACTGCAGCATGACTGAAGTCGATGTGTTTTGTATTTGATGAATGAGCAGATAGTGTGATAAAATGTCCAACTGAGTCCATCAAATGGAAACAAACTCCAGTCTGAGGATGTTTAATAAAACGTAAATTCACACTTTCAGACATTTTCTCACATTATCAGCAGCTTCGTGTGTGTGTGCCTCGATCATGTTTTTATTAGTAAGAAACAGTCTGTCTAAAGAATAAAAAGGTTCTTATTGAAATTAAAACATTCACTCATTATGTGTCACTTAAAATGATGAAAGCAAATGTTTACTTTCACTGTTATTAAATTAATTTAACCTGGAAATAACACAGAAAAATATACAAAATCCAATTTGAAGGTTATTCCCATATTTCTTACATGACAATTTTAACTTAATGAACAAACAGTGATGTAGTTTCAGTAAGTAACAATCCACACAATCCTGACCTATAATCCCTGTAACCCTCGTGCTCAGCACCATCTGACATGTTTTACTTACTATTAAATTTCACCCATAACTTAATTTGACAGAAACAAAAACACTTTTTATGCTTTTTATGACACAACATTAGTGCAAATATATCAATAAATAATATATCATATAAACCAGGTGCCTAAACAAAATCCTCTTTCATATTTTCTTATTTTTCAAATACATTAAAATATTTTTATGTACATAAGACTGGCAAATAACCTCTAATATAAAGTTAAGGAGGAAGATGGGATACAGCCTTTTCTTTGGATTATATATAGAGATTTTTTCATTTTTCATTCAGTTTGTTGTTATTTTTCAACAAATGTATGTTGTCCAAATAAAATTATGATCAAACTGTAATTAATACCTGTAATTAAAATTACAATCCTTACAATCCCATCCTCATGTAATTTAGAACAGTGGATTAAATATATTTTTTTAAATAATTTAAACAAAATTATTTTTTAAGTGTGTGTGTGTGTGTGTGTGTGTGTGTGTGTGTAAGGTAAAATATCCTTATTGAATACAATACATAAAATATAGTAAGGTTTTTAACATGTTACAGTATTATTCCAAACTTTTAATCTTGTTAATAACAGGGACACCAAAATAAAATGAAGTCACTTACCTCATAAGTTACACTTAAAATGTCGATTTAACTGTAAAGCTTTGGTTCACATCATTAGCGAGTCAGTAGAAGTCTGTATCCTCCTGAGACCTGAACTTTTGTTTGGTGTGCATTTTAAATCTCCCCTAGGTATCTGGGATTAGTAGGACCTGATAAGTGTAAAAACCTAAACATTGTCACTGATAATAAAGTCCCAGTGTCCTCAAACGGGACAACAATAAAGTGCCAATGATCTCAAATGAGATGACAATAATGTCCCAATGGTCGTCAAATAAATGATAATTAAGACCTAATGTCCTCAAACAAGACAATAATTAAGTCCCAGTGTCCTCAAACGAGACAACAATAAAGTCCCAATGGCTTCAAATGAGTACTTCCTGATTAACAGTCTTGTTACTGTTGCCAAAATTGGTCAAATTTGCTCCTATATCAAACTACAAATATTATAAATCATCTGTAAACAAGTTTCAACCATAAAATGTGAGTCAGGTTTTGTGTCGGGACCTTTGTGTCGGGATCAGCTGCAGACTGACTTGGCAGAGATGGCTGCCATCTTGTTTTTACATGGATTAGTGTATTGTGCTCTTACTACAAGTCAGTGGCACAAAAAGTGTCCATGAACAAGGACAACATGTCTAGGTTAAGTAGAATAAAGTATAAGGTCAAGTAAACTCAAAATGTGATGTTCACAGGTGAGGTCACAGGGTCTTAGGAGGGCTGTTTTAAATGCCACAATTACAATTATTATATATATATTTTACTGTTGTTGCTATAAAGTATCTAAAACGTTTTTATTTTTATTTTTTTGTAACTCAAAACGGTTATTTTCCTCTCCGAGTTTTATAATATAATCTTTTAAACGCTAAATATCAATGAAACATCAAATTCGGTGAGAAACTCAATCTACCAGGGGCTCTGTAAGCAGGTGTGCGCATGTGCGGAAGTCCCAGCGGACTTCTCTGTCTTGGAGGATTACTATCTTTGCGTGTGTTACTCTTTGGTTGTTTACCCTGTTGTTTGTTGCACGTTGAGCTCGTCACTAACGTTTAATTATAAAACCACCAAGGTTAACCGTCACAGAGCTGCAGCTGACCGTCGGAGCAAACCACAGACACAAACTAACGGAAACGGTTGAGAGTTACCGGAGTACCGTCGGTGTTGTTCGGTAACGTGAAGTCAGCGGGTTTAAACCGAAGTGCACTTTGCTCCAGAGAAAGTTCAGGCAGCTGTTGAGAGCAGAGGTCACCAGACAGGTAAGAAAACACTTTACTCCATATATAAACTACATTAACAGCGCTGCTAACAGTTACGAGCTAAAGCTAAAGCCTCTGTGTCTGTTTGATGTGTAGTTTATGACCGTTTAATCGTCGACAACGTTAAAGTTGTTAGCTAGTTTTTTGCTAGTTTTAGATGCTTGTTAGCGTTTAAAATCAGTGTTTAAAGCTAATAGCTGCTGAAGAAGCTAATGCTAACCATTAACCATCTCTCCCTTGTCCAGTTTTTGTCCTTTTAAATTACCTTATGTTTCTATTCTTTTAATTTTAATGTCTTGATACGGCTTCTCTTTAATTTTCTCACGTATTAAATGCATCAAGAAACCCTAACAACCCATACAGATCAACTTCCATATATGAGAAAAGAAAATTCAATAACTCAAATTAGTTAAAGGTCCAGTGTGTTAGATTTAGGGAGATTTAGTGACATCTAGTGGTGACGACTGCAGATTGCAACTAGCTGAAACTTGTCCTAGTTAGGGGCTGTACACATGCTGCGTTTTTTGCGCCCTCAAAGTCATTGTTTTCAATGGTGACACGCAACATTAGAGTGACGCCGCTGCAGCATACACGCCTTCCAAGCGTTTCAGGGCGAAATGGCTGCGACCTGAAACAAACCAAGTTCAGCTTTTGTAATGCAGCAGTGTGCACCAGATGTTGTGTCGAAGAACAACCAATCTGCCAACTGATATCTTTACTTTCTTCTGTAAATATCAGTCTGTGGTAAATATGGAAAAGTTGATCATTTTAGTGCAGGGCTACCTAGAGCTTTACATCTGTCCCACAGACAATAGGCCCACACAGGTCCCTTAGAATTTTCTATATGTTTATTGTGTAGGAGGTTTTTAGCAGGAGCCGGATTATCCTCAGAGGTCTCTTCCGCTCCAAAACAAACCAGGTGATTAAACTGGTAAAAATGCTGAATAACACAGTTAACCTGACACTGTTTGGTCAGAGATGGGCAGCTCGCCAGCACCTGCTAATGTGTGCTCACTGTTGTTTTCTGATAACTTAACAACTTGACATTCAGGAGGTTTTCTGTGGGAGCAAACTAACCAACAGAGGTCTCCTCCTCTCCACAACAAACTGATCAGGTCATTAAAACCGGTAAAAACACTGAATAAAGCATTTCATGTAACAAATCATATTTTGTCCGCTGCTACTCGTTGTGGAGGGGCTGCTCACTGTGGTTTTAGTTGCAATGAGGATAATTCTTAAGGAATGGGAGGTGACCAGTGTGGCTCAGGGAACTAGTCTCAGGGATTCACCTTGAGAGATTTTGATATGACAGTTGAGTTTGAATGATAAATTTGAGAGTATTCGGAGCCCAGTAGTAAGGCACCTTAAGTTACTGTCTGGTAGCTGAAGTCCCTACTGAGAGTCACCACCATGTTCTGTTATTCTTGGCCATTTAGAATAACAGAACACTTAATGGATTTATTTCAGTCAAGTCTGGCTTTTTTTTACTTTGTTTTGTGTTGGGTTGTTTTTTTGTATGTGGGTCAAATGTTTGTTAGTCTGTTTGTATATGTAATGTTTTTGAGATGAAAATTAAATATAATATGCATGGTTTGATCTGTTCTGGGCTCCTGTAGAAACAAGGCGATCTTCATAGATGAGGGCCCGCTCCGTATGTAGATAAATACGGCTCATTATAAGGTAATGAAAACATAACGATTCTTATTTTCAGGTAATTATACACTAAAGAAAACATCCATCCATCCATCTTCTAACCGCTTCAAAACATACGTAATATATTATACTCTGTATCTGCCAATATACCCCCCTAAATCCTACACACTGGACCTTTCTTTAATTGCTATGTTTTGGACTTTATCAAATGACTGTCCATGTACTCCAACAAAATGCCACAAAACAACTATAACAGAACAGGTTACAAAGTTATCAGATCCCAGAGTTAAGTTTTCTATTGTTTTTTTGCTAACTGAGAAAACTAAATAACAAAATGAGTAAAGAAGAACATAGAAAATTATTTTAGTAATTTAATTGGTCATTCTTGTGGAGCGACTTCTATTTCTAAAATATGACTGAATTGAAAACCTGGAAATGAATGCTGTATTTGTTTCACAAATTATATTTTACGAGAGAAACTATAATTTGAATATGATTTTGAATTACATTGAAATTATTTTTTCATCAAGAAATATTGACTTTTTCAGTGCTTGCATTTATAAAGATTATGCTCTCCAAAAGATTAAATTCACTTTAACACTATTATCCACTCAGTATCAGTACTGCTTAATTAAATATAATTTGGACTTTATATTTACCACTGTCTTGTCTATGCAGCATGTTAACAAGTCTGATCACATACAGAGGACGCTGTACTACTACTTTAAAAAAAATTTAGAGATCCTTATTATTTTGGGAGCTTCAACCATCAACTTGTGATCAATAATATATTAACTAAAAATTAAAATAACTTTGTATTTTTCAGCTCTGACCGTCTCTCCGGGACGATGGCGAACCCTTTGAGGGCTGAAGTGGTCCGACTCTATAAAAATGTGAGTTGTATTTTTATTACTCATGATAATATAGAAGTTAACTCTTAATGTCAAATCCAAACACAAGTCTGGGAAAGATCTTTTTTTTTTTTAATCAGCAGATGAAGAGTTCGTTTGATAAAAAAAGATTTATTCCTATAATGACGAAACCACCAGTTTGATTGACATTAATATGAGTACACAGTAGGGCTGTCACAATATCAGATTTTCACTACACGATTATTGTGGCCAAGAATTTAGGATGACAGTATTATTTGGATACTTACAGCAAATTAAAATACAACAATCAAATTCATCTTTAACTTTTTTTATTGTGTGTTTTGTCTCTTATTTTGGCAAATAAATTACACTCGAAATACGAGTGTCAGGAAGTCTGTAACCAGAATTTTACAAAATTGTACAAAAAGAGTAATAACACTCCATGGATAGTGAAAAGGAAACCAGATGGCGTTGGGGGAGACAAAGAGAGAATGGAAAGAATATTATCATATCATACGATATTATCATATGTGTATTATTAACATATCAATATGTAATATTTAAATATCACTGTTATCATCAATACTGATACATTGTGACACCCTAGAAACAAAAAACTGGATTTATTAGAATTTAAAAACGTTGAGATACAAAAATGAATGAAAAGTAGACATCAATTTTTTGCAAATGAACCTTTTTTGGTTCCCATTATTATTTCTGGGAAATGATAATGGGAATAATGATACTTTCTGACACAATAGAAAAGAAAAAACTTGTTTCTTTGAGAAAATAATGACAATATTATTATTAGTTTATTTCAATTTTTTGTCAGGGTGTCAACAACATGTTGCTGTACAAGTTCACAATCAAACTTTGTATAAAAAATATAACCAGTGTCTGTGAAAGTGTTACATGTGTAATTAAACTGAATTATCTTATCTAAACGTTCTCCCCTCTGTGACTCCACAGCTTCTCTACCTCGGACGGGAGTATCCTAAAGGTGGCGACTACTTCAGGGACCGCCTCAGAGCTGCGTTCTCTAAAAACAAAAATGTGCAGGACCCGGAGCAGATCAAGGAGATGATTGCTCGGGGAGAATACGTGGCCAGAGAGCTGGAGGCGCTCTACTACCTGAGGAAATACAGAGCCATGAAGAAACGCTACTACGAGGAATAAAAGGCTCCTGCAGAGACATTTCAGAGACTCATTCTGCTGCAACCAGCTGTGCTTCTTAATCAAACTTAAATCAAGTAGAAGATTCATTTGTCCTGCTGGAAAATAAAAAATTAGACAAACATAAGAGGAATTGCCTTAAAATTTATTTGAGTCTTGTGAAACAGACTGGAACGTCCGTCCTCTCAAGACAAAACAAAAAACGTCAGCAGCTTTAAAGGTTTTATTGTTTTGTTCCTGTAGAGTTGATTCAGTACTGACAGAAAAACACTTAAATAAAAGTATAAAAAAAGACAAGTTGCGCTTCAGACTACAGTAAGACCAAGAGAGCACAAACCCCTCAGCTCACAGTAGAAAACAGTAGAGACGCCGCCTCGCCCTGGAGGAGGCGCTGAGGTCAGTGGTGCTGTGGGGCGAGGGAGTTGCCGTCAGCCAGGTTAGCTCTGCAGATGGGACAGGTGATGTTGTCCTGTCAGGGGGAAGACAGACGGTTACTATCATCATCATTAATCTGTCAGTATGAATCGGAGTAAGGCAGAGAATCGGCATATTAAGAAAAATAATTTAAAACCATTCGATTTATTCATATCTAAACAGTTACAGACAAACTAATCTTTGTAGATTAAGTTAAGACATTTATCGTTGAATGATAGTGAACACCTCTGTGATTTAGGGATGGAAATCGAGAATCCATTAGAATCGTTTACCTTCGAACTTTTCAGTTCTTTTTAGCGATGCTGTCATATTTTTCTGCAAATAATTAAGTCAAACTCCCGCGTCTACTCTGTTGGGAACTTACACCAAGAAGGAGTCATGGTGGAGTGGATGAATGGTCCAAAGTGTGGCTTCGTTTCACAAAGAAAGATGACAACAGTCCTGCTATATGTCGGTAAAATGATTACGGGTGGAAACGCCAGCAGTATGCTTAAATATCTTTCTAGCAACAAGGGCTTAAATACCAGGAATGCTGTTTATCTGACACAACACTTGACTGACACTGCTTCCCTACAGAGCTGCATGTTTGTTATCGTGGGGAAACATACTGTTATAATAACATTAATAATGTAATAACAGTGCAGCACAGGCAGGCTCAGCTGATTTTTATTCAACTAAGTTAATCTAAATGAAAAACGAATGCTGTAAATACTCTGTCATTTTATCCACTAAAGGTAATGACCAACTAAATGTTGCTACAGCTGCTCCACTCGAACGTCAGCTCCTCCTCTCATAGCGGTTAAACAGTGACACTTTTCCCACACTTCTTGGCATGCCTTTTTCTGATGTTGCTACACTGTGTTCAGACTCAGAGATAATAAAACAGTTGTGTTGACACTGAAAACCTGCTCAAGCCTTCTTTTTTTTCCACAGAAAAGTGTTTGCCACAGTTTTAATACAGATTAATCAGGTGACATGTTTGTCAGTGAGCTTTAGAGGAGCTGGGAAGAGAGGAAGACTTTACAAAATGTTGAAAAGTTCCGTGTAGAGCAGAACATGATGTGTGAGTAGTTACCTTCAACCATCTGTCAATACACTGGACGTGGTAGTCATGGAAACAAGGCAGCATCCTCAGCTTCTCTCCATCAGTGTAGTCACAGAAACAGATCTGACACCTGTCAATCAATCAGCAGAGGAGAGGAACAAACCATGAGATGTCGACATTTTAATCCTTACGTTAACACAATTCAATTACTAATTCAGTGGGGCCAAACATTGTCAGCTGCCTTTTTCAAACCTTTTTAAGCTTTTGGTAACAACTTTTATACAGATACAAATGAATGTAGTTAAAAACACTAAGTGTGGGAACGGAGTAAAAAAGAGCTATCAATGCACAGAATCATGACAAGTGGTCATACCCTGACATGTGCAACTCTCAACAGAGAAGAGAAGGAAGTAAGATGATTCACTCTATATACACTGCCTGGCCAAAAAAAAAGTCACCACCTGGATTTAACTAAGCAAATAGGTACGAGCCTCCTATTGGATAATTACTGCATGGGCGATTATCTTTCAGCTGGCAACAAGTTATTTAACCCCAACTGGTGCAATGAGTTGCTTCTCATTTCCTAAACAACCATGTCGAAAGACACATCCCGTGGTCATGGAAAACATGTTAGTCTGTTTGAGAAGGGTCAAATCATTGGCATGCATCAAGCAGAGAAAACATCTAAGGAGATTGCAGAAACTACTAAAATTGGGTTAAGAACTGTCCAACGCATTATTAAAAACTAGAAGGATAGTGGGGACCCATCGTCTTCGAGGAAGAAATGTGGCCAGAAAAAAATCCTCAATGATCGTGATCGGCGATCACTTAAATGTTTGGTGAGATCAAATCGAAGAAAAACAACAGTAGAACTCAGGGCTATGTTTAATAGTGAAAGTAAGAGCATTTCCACACGCACAATGCGAAGGGAACTCAAGGGATTGGGACTGAACAGCTGTGTAGCCTTAAGAAAACCACTAATCAGTGAGGCTAACCGGAAAAAAAGGCTTCAATTTGCTAGGGAGCATAAAGATTGGACTCTGGAGCAATGGAAGAAGGTCATGTGGTCTGATGAGTCCAGATTTACCCTGTTCCAGAGTGATGGGCGCATCAGGGTAAGAAGAGAGGCAGATGAAGTGATGCACCCATCATGCCTAGTGCCTACTGTACAAGCCTGTGGGGGCAGTGTTATGATCTGGGGTTGCTGCAGTTGGTCAGGTCTAGGTTCAGCAACAGTATGTGCTCAAAGAATGAGGTCAGCTGACTACCTGAATATACTGAATGACCAGGTTATTCCATCAATGGATTTTTTCTTCCCTGATGGCACGGGCATATTCCAAGATGACAATGCCAGGATTCATCGGGCTCAAATTGTGAAAGACTGGTTCAGGGAGCATGAGACATCATTTTCACACATGGATTGGCCACCACAGAGTCCAGACCTTAACCCCACTGAGAATCTTTGGGATGTGCTGGAGAAGGCTTTGCGCAGCGGTCAGACTCTACCATCATCAATGCAAGATCTTGGTGAAAAATTAATGCAACACTGGATGGAAATAAATCTTGTGACATTGCAGAAGCTTATCGAAACAATGCCACAGCAAATGTGTGCTGTAATCAAAGCTAAAGGCGGTCCAACGAAATATTAGAGTGTATGACCTTTTTTTTTGGTGGTGACTTTTTTTTTGGCCAGGCAGTGTATGTAATTTACATACTTTATCATATATCAGATTTTTGTGTGATGGGCCACTTGGAGGACTCTTCTGGCCCAGATGTGGCATCACTAACATTACAGGTAATGAATACAAACGTCATGAGTCCAGATCAGACTGGCTGAGGATCTTATTGATGACTTACTGAGTGTTGCCGGCGCTGTTGGCAGACTGGAAGGTTTTGGTAGGAAACCTCTGGATTTCCCTCCGACTCAACTTTTTGGACACAACAGAGCCTTGACGCTCCTCGAACGCTAAAAGAGCCTGCAAGACGAGCAGATGGACAAAATGAGCAGACACAAAAACATAACAGTCTGTAAAGAAATACAGAGCACTGTTACACTATGATCTCTGATGATTCTGACTCATGCATTAATGTAAAAGCTCGTTTTACAGTATTAACTTATGATTATTTTTATTATGGCATTCATTCTTAAATAACTGGTAAAACACATACAGTTTGAGAGATGATTTTATGAAGGCTCGTCAGATGCCACCACAGAGGTTTAGAGTATTATGATAAGGGATTGAAAAAGTCTGGAAAGTTTCATTATGTTATCTTTTGTTGCTACGATTGAGAGATCCCAGGGGACAATATGCAGAGGCACCTAGAGCAGTAAATAAATAAATAAATAATAATAATAAAAATAATAATAATGATGATGACTTTATCAGGCACATAGAGAAAGGTCCATAGCGTACCACACAAAAACAGACAATCATCTATGTACAAAAATACAATACATAAATACCCAACACTACATTATGCAAGTTGATATAAAAAGACAAATTCAATAAACTGGTTTTGTGGTATATGTCAGTCATTTCTGTTTTTAAGATCAAAGAATTCTCACTAAATTAACTACCTCATCCTCCACTTTGTTACTGACAGTTCACTTGGAGGTCCTATAAGAATCCAACTGAAAGAAGAAAGAAGCTAAGATGATGTCATTGAACGTTCTTCCCAAAATGTGAGATGAAATTTAGAAATAAAAAGCGTTCAAAGGCTTCTTTTAAAGCTCTGACTTCATCCAACAGAGCTCAGTGGGATATATTTTCTTACAGCTCTACTTCAAAGTTTTGTTTTTAACTCTATTGGTTTGAATTATTAATATCCAACTAAAGGTTTGTTTGAAACGGTGGTTTTATTTTTAAGGCATTTCATTTTTTTTCCTCTTGTTGTTGGTTTAATTTCAACAAAATGTTACCTTTATATATTTACTGTGTCTCTGTACACTGAGGTGGAGAATGATCTTACACTGTGACCAACACATTGTTAATGTGTTTAAAAAAAAAAAAAAAAAAATTTATTCTCCTCCTCACCTCGTAGTCGTTTCCCTGAAGGTCTTCTGAAAGCTCAGGCTGGGCGTTCCTCCTTCTGGCCTGCCCACGTCTTCTGGTTTGACCAATCAAATCTGTGGAAACACACCAGCTGCATCAGTTTAAGTAAACACAACTGAGACCCTCAATTCAAACTGCTTCTGATCAGAGGTAAGTACACATGAATGTTGCTGTTCAGTCTGTTTCTCCTCTGTATTTATACTCTGCACGTTTTAGCCTTGATATGTTAGTGTCTCTCTACATATAGTGATTTTCATTGTTGGTGAAGGGGTTCATTGTGTTATTATAAAACAACTCATAGCTAATTGCTCAGAGACGTGTCTTTCTGGGCTGCAACTTATCATTCTTGATTATTCCGCCAATTATTTTCTAATGAATGATTTTGTCAATTTAATGACTGAGACTAAGCGTTGCAGCTCGAGTGTGTTCATGATCTTACCATCTTCAAAGCCGACCAGCGGAGAGACAGCAGCCAGTAAATGAGGCATCCAGCTGTGCTCCATGTAATACTGTAGAGAACAACACAAGTCAAAACTCTGTGATCACACATTAACTTCAGTTCCTACAGCACTTCTTGTTCACCTGTACGACCTTCTCATGACCTGACAGATGCGTCAGACTTTAGATAGACACATAATATTTGTTATCAGGATGAATTGTCTGGATTTGTTGACAAAAATACGTTTAATCTCTGTCTTACCCTGTGCTGGCTCTGCTGATGAAGATGATGGTAAAGCTGGTGATGGTGAAGCTGATGATGGTGGTGCTGGTGCCTGCTGACAGACTCCTCTTGGTCAAACTGGGCCTGAGTGAGCAGAGAGCATTATGAATATTTTAATAAACACACACTGCAAAGGTGAGTCGTCTCTTTCTGACCCAGCAGGTGAGAGATGCTAACCTGCAGGCTTCGCGCCAAGGCCTCGTCTTCCTCCTCCTGAGCCAAGCGAACCATGGCCTCCTCGTCGTCACTGATGACGATCTCCTCCGGTGCTGCAGAAGAAGAAATTACTAATCAGGACCAAAAAGGTAAAGTAAAGTAAAGGTAAAGTTCCACTGATTGTCACACACCTGAATGTGTGAAATTTGTTCTCCGCATTTGACCCATCCCCTGAGGGAGCGGTGAGCAGCAGCGGTGCCGCGCTCGGGAATCATGTGGTGATCTAACCCCCCCAATTCCAACCCCTGATGCTGAGTGCCAAGCAGGGAGGCAATGGGTCCCATTTTTATAGTCTTTGGTATGACCCGGCCGGGGATCGAACCCACGACCTCCCAGTCTCAGGGCGGACACTCTACCACAAAGCCACTGAGCTGGTATAAAAAGCTGAAACTGCTGAGGCTGTCTTAACACTTCACATCAGGACCAGAGTTCTGATGAAATAAATAAAGTTTCAGACTAAATCATCTTTTTTAAGCTCAATTATTTAACTACAAAGACAGAGTTTCTGCAGGGTTCAAATTAAAGTTAAGGCCGTTTAAATATCCCTAGAATTACATCTTTTCACTATGTCCCAGCAGAATGTACCAATTATTCCTAATGATATACTTAATCAAATGAACTCAGCCTTTCTAGCTCTTGTAGTGACAGTGTTTGCTAAACAGGAAGTAAAATGTTGCCGTGGATTCAGTGAGTTTGCTTTGAGATTCAATCTTTTTATCCTATATTTGTTTCCATGTAGTCATATTTGGTATGTTTACATGCACACTAATATTCCTATTATTCAAAATATGGCAATATTCTGAATTTGGTACGGATGGATTTTCCAAAGTAGCCCTTTTCTGAATATGGCATGTTACATATTAATACTT